AATATTTCATAGATTATTAAAAACTGGTAGGAAAATGTCTATTCAGTAAAATAATATGAACAAAAAGTGACGAAATATATACCCTGTATAAGTTGGGTGGCCTAAATGGTTTTCTTGAAAGTTTTCAAGAGGCACTAAGGCACCGTCGCGACGTCAGAGAGGCAAAAAGCAATCAGTTACTTAGTCGATGTCTTTGAATATGCAATTAAACTTCCCAAGAGACTCCATTTAATTTAAATTTGATTTCTCAGACTTTGACGACAAGAACTTAAGAGCAACATTTTGATTGTTTCTCAAAACTTTGTTGTCAGAATAAAACTCGACCATCATTATAAAAATTAACAACAAAACAGTCTACTATCTGTACTTTGTTAGGAAAAGGAACTTAATCGTAATATCAAGAAAACAAAATAATACTCCACCTATACGTGGTTAGATACAATGGGCAGTTAACGGTTAATAAATCGATAAGCGAAGTTATTAAACAGGAACATTTTCTTTGAATTAATTTGATTATGCACAATCAGAATGTTAAATAGATAGAATGATAGAAATAATAGTATATTACACTACAAGGGCAGAAAGTGTGAGATTCCTGCACTGCGCGCAGTTCAGGGCTCTCACACTTTCTGCCCGTGTAGTGTATACTATTTTTCTTGCTACCCGGCCGAAAATACCGGAAAAAATTAAATTTTTTTTATAATAATTTAAGGTTATTTAAGTAGGGGAGAGTGGGTAGACATTGGACAATTTTTAGATTTTTTTGCCTGGGTCTCTTAGAAATGTAATTATTTCTAATTTCAAAGTTTCAGGTAATAGTGTTGACTTTTGAAAACGCAAAGAGATAAATATGTACACTTTAAACCGTAAGATGGGTTTGCTACGAATTTTTGAAAATTTTCGGTCATCTGTCCAAAGTCACCCCACATACGGGGAGATTCTGGACAACGTGCATTTGGACACTATAAAAATATTATAAATTTAGGAATCATCATGTTATGGAATCGAACTCCGTCAGTGGGGGGAAGAACCAATACCACGTCCTTAAAATCCACCAAGGCTTCATCTTCATGTGTTTCTTTAAATCTGTATTTGACAGCTGTATATCCTTGGTTTAATTTTTGCAATATTCTGCTAACGAAGTGCCGGGACTATGTTTGGACAATAGAGGAAGACTCTAGACAGCGTGTCCAAACTCTCCCTACATGATGTGAAACAAAAAAAATGTTCATAATTTCAAAATATAGCAAAGGAATAAAGTAAGGATATAACAAAAGTTCCATGCTTTATACATGCTTTAATATGTAGTAACTTTAAATAATTTATCTACAACGGTCTGGGCAGAAAATCTTACAAGGGGAAAGTAAAATATTACATGAAAAAACTCGAAAATAAACTTTTCCACTTACCTCTTCTACAGCTAAACTCAAACTTATTTCACTACCACTATTTGATACCTTACCAACTTGACGATGTGTAATAGTAGAACCAACCTGAAATTTTTACTGGAACCGCGAAATTCGTCCATTGTCCATTGTCTCCCAGTGTCCAGACTCTACCCACTCTCCCCTACTTATTGTACCAATGCATCAAACGTAAACTTTCTGCCGTGGAATCGGGGACGAAACAACTTATTTTCAGGCGAGGTAGTAAGAAAACATTTTTTTAACGTTTTGACATGGTAAAATACAGGAAAAATCTGACAAGTGCAATAGCTATATACAGTGTATTTTTTGAATGTGTGTGATTGCGTCATCAATTGGCTCGTATGAATTAAACCGAAACTAAAATTAGAGTCAGTAGCGTATCATTTTGAAGGGGTCTAAGCATTTATTGAGGGTGTATTTTTGGTTGCCTAATGTCGCCTCATAGTTACGCAACTAAAAATACATACAATTAAACAATAATTCTAATGATAGTTATTTTAACTTTATTAATGTAAATTATGCAAGTTTTATAAACGAATAACAATAAATTTATTGTAGCAAAATGAATTCACTATGAACTATGTTAACATACACAATTTTTGTACATAATATTATGTACATATTAAAATAAAAGGTTATAGGAGAACGAAAACAAAATTACTAAAAGTCATCCTCGTCGGAACTGTCTTCTCCGAGGTGGATAACTAGTTCTGGCACGTCATCGACCATCCTTGTCTTTTGGAACCAATCCTCAATTAATTTGTTGGTGTGCCTCACTACTGAACACCAACGTTCTGGCGTGCATTGGTTCAGTGCTTGGCCCCACATTGCTAGCACTTTATTGTCGCCATAGCCGTCTTCCCCCATATGGGAATCATAATATGTTTTAGCCTAAAACAGAGTTCGTTGTTGCAAGCGCCCATCTAATTGTTTATGTATTTACCTGCGCCCATATAAGTTCAATGGCATTGAACTGGCAGTGATATGGAGGCAGACGCAAAACCTTATACCCATGCTGCTGGAGGTACTCATCAACTTTTTAACGCTTAGGCGGGGTGTGGTAGCGTGCCAGAAACAGCAATTCCGCTTTAAATATACCTTTGATAAACTGAATATTATGTTCTGTTAGCCACTCTTCTATTTGCTGTTTTTTCCAAGCACTTGTAGGGTGACGCTCAACATCGACGCTGTGGAGCGTTGTCCATCACAATCAGTGAAGGTTCCTTTGACCCTTTAGTGGGAGCAGGAGTCCCCATGCTCCAGTTCCCTTTGAAAATATTGCACTAAATTAATAATAAAACGTTTCTGATTATCTTCCAAACGTTTGCAAGACATTTTTTAAAACCTGTCAAACTTCCAAAATCTGTTCTTTAATGCCAAATTACTGTATGAACGCACTGACTAACCTTCAAATTTTGATAAATTTCGGCTCAATGCCACAACAAACTATACGCGCTCTGTCCTTTTTCAGCACAAGCCGCGTGAGCGCGACATCGGATTGAAGTTTGTCATAAATTACGTTTAATTGTGTCGCCATCTGCTGGTTTAGCGGATCCCGATACGTTTTAGAATTTCGGTTGAACTTTTACAAAGAAAAAAGAAGACAGCTACACATTTTAATGTCTTTGTTTGGTTCAGCAATTGATGACGCAATCACACACATTCAAAAAATACACTGTATATATATATATATATATATATATATATATACTCGTCTATATATAGGTATATAATATATTAATTACTTAGTAATAGTCAACATGGCTTTAGACAACAGAGATCAACAATCACAGCACCAGTAGATATTATAGATATTATTTATAAAAGTTAGATAAGGGTGAAAATGATATGGCGATATTTGTTGATCTTTCAAAAGCTTTTGATTGTGTGGATCACAACCTTCTTTTGAAAAAAATTGAATATTTTGGTTTGCGTGGTCACTGCAATACTTTGTTAAAATCGTATCTAATGCACCGCAGGCAATTTTTATTGTGGGTGTTCCCCAAGGGAGTGTACTAGGGCCACTCTTGTTTATATTATACTTTAATGATTTATATAATTATGTATGTATGTTTTGATTTATGGAGAAGCAGGCAGAAATCTTGATGATGCTGTTAACGTGAATATAAGCGTTTTCCGAAAAATATTCGATCGCGTGCTTCATTTTAACTTACAGTCAAGCAGTTTACTACAAACGGAAAAGTTCAACCGAAAAAAGACTTCGTCGAGCAACAGTCACCCGGTAAAAATAATGAAATTAATGTATTAGCAGTAGTTGCTGCTAATCCTCATGCAAGCACACAAAAATTATCTCGCGATTCTGGAATATCCCAGAGTGTTATAGGAATATTAAAACGAAATAAATACCATCCTTACCATAGCTCGTTACATCAGGGGCTAGGGTTATTTTTTTGTCCGTGGGCACGTGACCAAATACAATAAAATCCAAATTTTATCCATTTTGTATTGTTCTCCGACGAGTCGTCTTTTACGAACCACGGAACCGTATATCGGCACAATATGCATTACTGGAATGAAAAATCTGCGTTCGCTCCGTCAAGTTGAACATCAGCATCCTTGGACTGTCAACGTCAAACTCATCGGTCCCTACATCATTGAAGGGAACTTAAATGGCGAAATGTACCGAGATATTTTGAAAAATAAACTGCAAAAATTACTTGAAGACTTAAGCTTAGAGGTAAAACAGTACATGTGGTTTCAACATGATGGTTGTCCAGCACACTATGTTCTGCTTTAGGTTTCCACGGGCGTTATATGTATTAGTGGTTTTTCGTGATCTGCTCCGTGTTGTCGGTTTTTGGTTCTTAAAAGAACCGTATGTCTGACGACGTTTCGGTACAATCTCATGTACTACTTCAGGTCTGCTGGTCTGCTGTTGCTGCTCTGCTGCGAGTTAAACGTGGAGTGAGCTCCGTTCAACGGAGTCCGTTGCCGCTGATCGTTGTTTATATACCCTCTTAGCTTTCCGCGTCATTAACCGTGACTGCGATTGAACTTGTGTTATGTTAGTAGCCCACCCTGTCGTAGAAATTGACGTATTTTAGGATTGTTTTAGTTCAAAAGTTTCGGGGGGGGCAAATTTTATGTGGAACACCCTGTATATACAGAAAACAACAGCTTTGCTTTAAAAAGCAATAGCATATCACAAAGAAAAGCTATAAAGATGACAAGTTAACTTATGGGAGATGTAACTGTTTTAAAATTGTTAATTTAAGCTAGTTAGATATAAGTGAAAATAAACCAATTAAATTTATTTGAAAAAAAATCTGATAAATTTGTATTGTTAAGTTGTGGGGACTGGCTTCAAAAAGCTTTGGCAAATAAAAAATAAATAAAAATCCTAATTTTGCAATCAGATAAAGGCGAGTTTAAGGGGAGCTTAGATAGAGTGGAGTTCTGATTAAACTTATATTAGTAAAGCGCCCTTAGGCCTAAGAATTAATTCAGCCAATTCCGGGAAACAATTTATTTCCGAATAAGTAAGGATGTAACGAAAACTTTCGTCGGCTATATTAAACCTACTCCGATAAAACGAGATAAAAAAACACGTAATTTACTAAACTAAATTAATTTATTCGAGTATCTTACACAAGCAATATTTAAATACTTAGGTATGTATATACATAAAAATGCTTTAGGGCTATTTATTTACATAATATTTTTTATAAATCAGTTCAAATATTCTAGTATCTTAGAAGCTAAATGATGCTTATAGGCATAATGATGATGTTTATGTACATAAATGATAAATAATACTGGAAAACATGAAAAAAACTCTCGAGGTTGTAAAATACTAAAAATTAATAAATTAACTAGAAAACTATAAATTATTGGGTACGAATTTTCATACCAAAAGTATACGAACGCCTTGGAAGAGTGGGGATTTTGCAGCAGCGACCACACACAATTTAAGCATCATTTGAGTTTTGCATTTGCTAAGGTGCACCAACGGAATGAGAGTCGTTCGAAATTCCATGTCCGCCATTGTACCTAACTAAAAAGGTTGAAAGGTTTTTAGGTTTTTTTTAATATTTTGAGAAACGCTGGCCTTTTTTTAATTCTTAAATTTTATGTTTAAAGGATTGTAATTACGCAACTTTTCTCTTTTTAACATTCCTTGTTGCTCATCAAATAAAAAAATACCCACAGGATACTAGGATACTTGGTGCACCCTGTTTATTAATGTTTTTTTCCAAATGTAAGTTTCAGTTGGCAGATAATTTCCATGGATACTATTGCTCTTACAACGATCGATGTGAAATTTAACTGTCAGATAGACTAACTGGAACTTAACCAGAGATCAATAAAACCGGCCCTGAATCATTTGTAAAAGTAAATTAACTTAATAATAAAAATTCATAGCGGATTCTACTATCACCCAAGGCCAGTGACTGGGCGACTGAATATATTAATGTTAGAGCGAATTATTTCCCCACTCTTAAAAACCGAATGCTGTTGTTGATAAAATTGTATTTTTCAAATTTTACATAATTTAAATTAACCTCCGACACATTTTTTCTTGTCTCCCAGTGTAATTGGTAAACTTTGTTTTTTTATTATACAGAAATTGACAGATCAGACAATGTTGGTAATGAAAGATAATTTTTTGTAGGAAAATTAGTATTCAAAAGCGTTTTTAGACATGTGAACAACATTTTTCTCAACTTTAGTCAACATTTTTTGATTTGTCTTGCTTTCAAACTCCAAACAGATATTTACACTAAATTTAGGCGGATAGTCTCTTCTTACACTCAGCCTACGAAGGGGAACTGTGGATATGGCGCGGGGAAATACCCTGGGAAAGCTGCAGCCGTCGGTTGAACAGCTACAGAAGCTGTCATATACGTCGTCAAAACAGTTGGTACCACTTTAGTGGAATAAACTGTTGTATAAGCGGTTTTAGCACCAAATGTTAACTTCAGGATCTTGCTTTGAGTTTGGGTTACAATTGTTGTTTGTACTATTGGTGAAGTAGTTACAGCGAATTGTTGTTGTGGTAAGAGAGGGTTAAAGGGGTTTTGAGGAATCTGAGGAAGTTGAGGGATTTGAGGGATTTGTGGTAGTGCCGGAGGTAGAGTACTAGTGCCGAATTCGTAATCTGTTTTCGTTATAGTTCCTTTTATTTTGGAGATTGTGGATAGTATAGTGTTATGTCCTTGTGTGACAGGGATTACATGTGATTCGTATAGGGTCTCTACTTTAATAACAGGCTTGGATGTTGTTATTACTTGACCTTGTTGTGCAGCTGCAGGGTTAAGCAATCTAAGTAAGGCTAGTTGTTGCAATTGGTCTGGATTCAAACCTTGTGGCGTTATAGGTTCCTGTACAGCAGGTTTTGGAGTAGTTATAGGGTGAGCTTTCTTTAACCTCAAATGCCCTTCTAGAAGCTTTGACTTATCAACATCTGATAAATCAAAATCTGAACCAATGTTAGCTAAATCCAAATCAGGTAGGGATATTCTTCTTTGATGTCCCTCACCATCATCTTGCTCATTCTGATCACCAAATTCAAGCTCTAAATGCAACTCCGACCCAGCTTCATCCAGATGACTGTTAAACTCGTTCAGAACCCTGCTGGGTATAAAATGATACGCCTCCATCGGCGGTAATGTTTTTGTAGCAGTCACCAGTCGCGTCACCAAATACGTCTGTACCAACGTGCTACTCATAGTCTCGTTACCGTTCTTGACCACCGGAAGGATGTGCGTCTTTAACATCGTCTGTGTGGTGCTGAAAGTCTCCGTTAGAGTTTCCAGTGGGGGCGTTTCCATACCCGACTCGAGATAAAGCGGCGGTAGGGTTGCAATGCTTGAATCCAAGAAATTATTGTCTTTGCCGTAATTACTAGACGTTGCAAGAATGTTCTCTGTCAAAGGTTCCGTGGCTGATGGGGAAATTGTCGCCTCGGGCGTGTTTACTAGGCTTTTCTCGAATGTGGATGTCACCGTGATGTAGCGAGTATTTCGAACGCTTCCAACCTGTAAATTAAGACAATTTTATAAGAATAAAATGCATTTTATAAATTTTTTACAATGTAAATAGTACTTTACAGACCAGGCAGAAAACGCATATATTATCGCTGAGTATACATTGTGTGCATGGCAATTAATAAGCTCTCGCCGCCGGGTTTTATATACTATTTTTTAAGAATATATGTGATTTTACAACGTCATTTTTAAGTTGGGTTTTACTGACATGATGACAATTTCGCTTTATTTTTGTTTAATAATAAGTTATTATTATTATTAATAACACTGTAGGTAAATTTTCAACTCTTTAAATATCACAACTAAATGCTCGGACACGTAAACATAATTTTTGGTGCTCAGTGCTGTTTAGCTGTATCAGGTCTAAAAAAAGATTTTTCCTATTGGCAAACCGATCCGGGGACACACTGTATACTGGTATATTATAATTTGTAAAACAATATATCTCTCTCTTGTGCCAACATTTTTATGCTTTTTATTTCGTTTAATTATACTCAATAAAAAAAATCGAAAAAAAACACGTGTTCCTTTTTATCAAATTTGGCATGAATTTGTTTTTTTAAATGTTAAACTGATGTGTGGGTCCAGCCCAATTAAATTTTTTTTTAATTTATACAGGGTGTTTTCCAATCCAAAACTTTAAAATTAAATATTTATGAATTTTGACCTACAGTGTAATTTGACTTTTGAACAAGTATACTTGTTCAAAAGTCAAATTATATATATATTATATATCAATATGAAGTCTTTCTATATAGACATGAGTGTTATAATATAACTAATTAAGGTTGTCCGGGCATGAGCAAGGGCGTCGATAAGGGGGGGTAATGGGGGGTAATTACCATCCAAGATAGAAGTCCTAAGAAAAAAATTACTACAAATATAATTTATGAATGCAAGTCGCCCTCTATGAATAGTTTTTAAAGTGTGGCATAATAAAAGAAAAGTAAAGACTAGTAGCATTGTTTCATGTACATTAGGGTGATTTTTTTTTCACGACAATTTTTATTTTTTCGCTCCCAACTTAAAATCTTGTTGAAAATGTTCAAAAAAAAATTCCCTGAAAATTTGAGCCCTTAATATTAACTCAAAGTACTCGACCAAAGCGTATAAAGATTTCCCATTTAAAATACACGTAAACTTTGATTATTTTTTTTAAATATCTATATCTCAGCCGCATTTTATGCTATTGGATTGTTTCAAAAAAGGATTTACTCGTAATCAAAAGTTCTACAAAAATGCTTTATGTGCCATAGCTGTAATCTGCACATGTAGGATGGTACGGGTCACTAAATCTTATTTTAGTGAAAAATTATCATATTTTTGAAGATATTTCAAAAGTGACTGGATTCTTTGAAAAAATGTAAAGAACTAACTTGTAGAAAATTTAATTTTTTTAAAAAAGGTCCTATCAGTTGAATCGCTAAGATTGATATTTCTTGAGATATAAAGCGTTTACATTTACAATTTATGAAATTTTTAGGATTTTCGAATCAAACTTTGTATAAATGATGATTATGATGAGTTTATCAGTAAAATTTCATGTAATTACGTTTTTTCTACAGTCAAGTGATTAGAGAAAAATAAATAACTAAAACAATCAAGCATAATTATTAATAAAATAACATGTTGTATGTAATACACCTCGTTATATCAATTTTTAGGTTAGATATATCTTTTTTCTTTAAAGTTATGTTATTAATAATTATGCTAGATTGTTTGAGTTATTTATTTTTCTCTAATAACCCGACTGTAGAAAAAACGTAATTACATGAAATTTTACTGATAAACAATTAAAAATCATCATTTATACAAAGTTTGATACGAAAATAATAAAAGTTTTATAAATTGTCAATGTAAACGCTTTATATCTCAAGAAATATCAATCTTAGCGATTCAACTGATAGGACCTTTTTAAAAAAAAAATAAATTTTTTACAAGTTTGTTCTTTACATTTTTTCAAAGAATCCAGTCACTTTTGAAATATCTTCAAAAATATGATAATTTTTCACTAAAATAAGATTTAGTGACCCGTACCATCCTACATGTGCGGATTACAGCTATGGCACATAAAGCATTTTTGTAGAACTTTTGATTACGAGTAAATCCTTTTTTGAAACAATCCAATAGCATAAAATGCGGCTGAGATATAGATATTTAAAAAAATAATAATCAAAGTTTACGTGTATTTTAAATGGGAAATCTTTATACGCTTTGGTCGAGTACTTTGAGTTAATATTAAGGGCTCAAATTTTCAGGGAATTTTTTTTGAACATTTTCAACAAGATTTTGAGTTGGGAGCAAAAAAATAAAAATTGTCGTGAAAAAAAAATCACCCTAATGTACATGGATACAAAAATAAATATTGATAAGGTTTTGGATCGTTTTGAAAAAATGGAAAAAATAATTTTAATTTTATATTTAAAAAGATGACCTAGGTACTTAAATATATATATATATATATATAAACATATATATATATGTTTATGAGATATTTAGTTTTGGTACCTTATAATCCTTTTCCCCAATACACAAAAGCAAATAAACAAGGAGTTTTGCAAAATTATTTTCCTTATACATGTATGTTACTTTTCCCCCCAAAAGAAAAAAAATATATCGACGCCCTTGGGCATGAGTTTTAGTGTTTTGATCGCGGTAGAACTGTGTCCTATCCTACCGCATTAGATTTAAAATCCGTTGCCAACTACTTGCAACCAAAATTCATATGGGTATAAATTCCATTTTTAGGCGAATTTTTTATTATTTTGTAACGTAATTGCATTGTAGGTTCATGAGGCGTTGTTATAGTGTATGTGAATGAATAAAAATCTATAACATCGCTTTTAAAAATATCGCCAATAACGGTCGTAACGCTTGGCAACGTCGTATTCACTGTCTCTTTAACCCTTACGCTTGCTACATAGTTCTCTCTCACACCTATGTAGCACCGAGCGTCTAATTTCGGGAATTAACCGATTTAATCCAATAGAACTTTTTTCCTACCGACATTATCATTATAAAACTTCGCGTATTATGTTTTGAAATTACGCTCCACGATATACCTACTCATTTTTCATTGCAATCCTATCATTACACAGCCACACAAAAAAAAAATTGTGTTCTGATCTGGGGGCCTGACCATATTTTCTATATATTTTTGGGGTCGCTGAATCCGAATCCGAGGTCTTTTTAACCCCATCACATCAGGATTTTGCCATAACCTTAAAAAACCCATCATATAAGCTATTACTATATATAACCCTGAGAATGTGGTTTTAATATAAAAATCCAAGCTCTTAAATATCACAACTTTATAACTCACATAACCCCATAACCCATTTAACCTCATAACTCAATGTACATCAACCATGTTTGTCAGATATATCTAAATATATTTAACTTAATATGTACGTTATTTTAATAACCGCATAACTTTAGTCTCTTCAAAGCTAAATGTCTGACATACGTAACTGTTGGAATTGATGTTGATGGGGTTAAATGGGTTACAAGGTTATGGGATTAAGTGGTTTATGGCATGGGGTTAAAATGGTTATTGGGTTTAATAGCTTGGGTTTTCAGATCACAATTTCATCCTAAGGATTATATGTTTAAATAGATGATGGGGTTAAGTGGGTCATGGGGTTATGGGGTTAAGTGAGTTTTAGGCTTATAGTGTTTAGGGGCTTGGGTTTTTAGACAACAACTTAATATTTAGGGTTATATGCGTTTAATAGCTTAAATTATAGATTTTTTGAGGTTATGTCAAAATCCTGATGTGATGGGATTAAATAGACCTTGGATTCGGATTCAGCGACCCCAAAAACATAAAATAAATATGGTCAGACCCCCAGATCATAACACAAAAAAAATTTTGTGTTTTGATCTGGGGGCCTGACCATATTTTCTATATATTTTTGGGGTCGCTGAATCCGAATCCGAGGTCTATTTAACCCCATCACATCAGGATTTTGCCATAACCTTAAAAAACCCATCATATAAGCTATTACTATATATAACCCTGAGAATGTGGTTTTAATATAAAAATCCAAGCTCTTAAATATCACAACTTTATAACTCACATAACTCCATAACCCCATAACCCATTTAACCTCATAACTCAATGTACATCAACCACGTTTGTCAGATATTTAACTTAATATGTACGTTATTTTAATAACCGCATAACTTTAGTCTCTTCAAAGCTAAATGTCTGAGATACGGAACTGTTGGAATTGATGTTGATGGGGTTAAATGGGTTACAAGGTTATGGGTTTAAGTGGTTTATGGGATGGGGTTAAAATGGTTATTGGGTTTAATAGCTTTGGTTTTCAGATCACAATTTCATCCTAAGGATTATATGTTTAAATAGATGATGGGGTTAAGTGGGTCATGGGGTTATGGAGTTAAGTGAGTTTTAGGCTTATAGGGTTTAGGAGCTTGGGTTTTTAGACAACAACTTAATGTTTAGGGTTATATGCGTTTAATAGCTTAAATTATAGATTTTTTGAGGTTATGTCAAAATCCTGATGTGATGGGGTTAAATAGACCTTGGATTCGGATTCAGCGACCCCAAAAACATAAAAGAAATATGGTCAGACCCCCAGATCAAAACAAAAAAAAAAATTTGTGTGGCTGTGTTACCAATAGTTATTTCGGATGAGAAAAGAGTAACAATCCACGTGCTACCATAAGAACCCGTGTATTTTTACTCAACTTTGAAATGTATTTACTCGGCTCCCAACGACAAGAACTTTTATTAAATTAAACGATGATGTGAAGCATCATAAAGAATTTATTTGTAAATTTTTATTAAATTCTGATCATTCGACACTCACTCCAGGACAACCTTAAATGAATCGTTTTGGCGATATTCAAGAAGTAGAAACATGGTAAAAGTATAAATTATTATTACTATTCCAGTAAAGTTGGTTAGTTATATTTTTATTAATTTGGTTTCAATAAATTTACCATTTTTTGTATTTTTAGTAAGTATATTCAATCAAGAAATATTCTCCCAAAATACCGCTTGTGCTTAAAAATAAATAAACCAGATAAAGTAAGTATATTCAATCAAGAATAATTCTCCCAAAATACCGCTTGTGCTTAAAAATAAATAAACCAGTTAAATTTCATTCAAGCTTGTTGAACATTATGCAAGTATATATTAGAAGTGTTTTTATACGGACAAAGCTTTTTGTTTCAAATAAAGTCGTTTGTCAAATTATTATTCATAATATTCGAGGTGATTTAATGTAGATTTTAATACTTTAAAGTTAATTAATTTAATTAGTTTTGGACACTCGGATAACTTTAATAAACTTCTAGTGACTGGGCCATAGTGAATTATTCATCATTTTATCACAAATTACCCAATTCAACTCTTTAAATAAATTAAAATTTTCACCGGCCACTTTTAATTGCACTAACGATTATAGGACGTCAGTCTGTTAAGTACTAGACTCTGGTTTTCAACGGAAAGGGGCGAAGGAGTGTGCCGTCACGGCGGGGCGGTAAAATTGCCACCCCCAACACGTTGAAGGTAAACCTAAGCCGATTCGTGCACTTTGTCGAGCTTAAACTTTAATGAGCTCTTTATGCACCAGACAATTTGGGTTACGAGAAAAAGGGATAAAAAGATATACAAGGTTTCAGTCTAGTTCTAAAACCAGTTTTTCTAAAATCTTATGAAAAAAGCATCGTGTTTCATTTTTGGAATTAGTTAAAAACGTTATCAGCTTAAGTGATGCATGGCGCAATTTAGGCGTTCGTACTCACACGCTTGTTTTTATTTATAATTTCATTAAGTTTTTGATTAACGACCTTTATTTGCATTTTCATTATCAGGCAGAAAAATAACCTTTATTAAAACTTTTAAACCATTGCACAACAGTCATATCATACCTGGAAAGTATAAGGCGACTTAATGGTGGCAATTTCATAGTAGATATCCTTAAAATCGGGTGGTGTTGATATCTCAACTTTCACAGTTTCTAGGGGGAAGGGATTATCCAATTTATTTTCGATAGTGCTGTCATCTACAATGGACGCTATTGATTCAGAACCCTCTAGTCCATCTACATCGTCTGATCTAGCTTGTGGGGTCACCACATCGTTACTCAATGGAGGAATGTCTTGAGGTGGAGGAGAAATACTTGAACCTAAAAAAAGTTTTTAGTTGTCTATAGCATATCGAATTGTAATATTACCATTGATTGTTTCATTCTTTGGCAGTGCTTCGTCCTCCTGTGTTTTCCTGATGGTGACTCTAGGTTTTGGGGATGTTTTGTACTGCCATCTACCAGGAGATCTATTAAGTTTAAACTTATACAAACTTGTGGTTGCAGAGTGAGCTTCCACAGTCGAAGCTTGCACCTTAGGCTTATAACTTCTTCTACTGAAGCCACCAGAATTACTGTTACTGTTACTGCTGACATTCTCGGAGCTTATTCTTTGTTTGTTCTTCCTTTGGAAACGTTTTCCACTTCCAAAGCTCGATGTGGTTGGTTCTTCGCTGCTTACAGAAGAAGGGGTTGTAGTACGATTTGGTTTCTTTTTCCTACCACCTGACCGACCGTTTTTCGTACTTCTGTGTGATGTATTGCTGTGTCTGAGTTATATTTACAAGTGTTAGTGCCAGTGTAAACGTGCAATTAAGTTTTTTTGGCCAAAATGACCAACAGAGGAAAATTAGAAAATTAAATGAGATATTTATATACACATAGTATATAAACTCGCTCTACTCTATTAATTGCATACTTTCGGATAAAATAATAGTTGGGATAACATTAAGTGATGCATAATATAATTAAGCAAATCATCAATATAACTAGGTAGCTATAGACAATGAAGAAGATTATAGCTAAATCCGTTTATTAGGTCGACGCTTATATACAGGATCAATAGGTAATTGAGAATTTGCGAATAATTATATATATTTCCCAAACGTTATGCAAATAAGCCTTAACCACGATTTTGTGTCACACACTATTGTTTACAGTTTATCCAAACTAGTTAAGACCAAAAAAAACTATATATATATATATATATATATATATATATATATATATATATATATATAAAAACGTCTGAAAATATGCAATTAATCTAAACAGTAGCTAAACCTTTATACAGGGTGTTTCACATTCGTGGTCCATTAGAAGTTTCTCGGGAACGAAAAAAGATATCGATTTGAAATTTTAAAAGCGTTTATAATCCATTCAAGTATTTTTAACAAAATGCCACGGTTTAACCGAAAGTGGCATCAACTTTGTTATTTAAAATATATTTTTACATTTTTAAATTCTGTATAAAATTCTGAGTAAAATTACTATACTATGTCCCATACCTAAAGTGAATAGTTTTAGTGTTATTAATTTTGTTTTCGTTAAAATTTGACAAAAGCGCGTCAATCATAGATAGCCCATAATTTTTTTGTTATTAGTTTGCGGATATGGCGGTAAAATTTTTTGAATCTTAAAACATTGTTTAAAAGATTTCATCTCAATTTTCAACAAATTACCTGAAAAAAACCAGGGCAAAGGATAATAGCTTTTTATTTTAAATGTAACACCCGGTATGTTTTTACATAATCAAATAGTAAATTAAAAACCTTTCGAATAATTATACTATTCCCCATACCTAAAGTTAAAAAATTTAGAAATATTTAACAATTACTAAAACTTTAAATACTACTTTGTGTCAAGAAACCTGTGAAAAGTGAGTGAGACATGTCGGAGATGTCCGGTTTTGCCCCGTTTGTGGTTTACTTTCCAATTAATGCATAATAATTAATTGTTACAAGCGTTAATATTAGTTGTATTAGTATTAGCCAAGACAGGAGTGGGATGTAGTACAAGTGCAAGAGACTATTGAGGCAGTCAAAGAGTGAAGAAGATGACTTACGTATAATATTATATTCTGACGAATCATATTATAAAACAAACAAAAATGATGGGTGGGTGCATTGTGTAGCATGCACAAAATGGGCTTATGAAGGCTGCACTGGCTTGGTGGAAGATAATTTAGCAGGATTTCAATGCAATACATGTATTTTTTCTTAATGTATTGTTTGTCCAGTGTTGCGTCAAGTAGGGTTGGGAAAATTTCACTTTTTGCTTGTACTTGAAATTTCACTTGAATTTTTCATGACATTTATAATATTTATTAAAATTTCCTAAATTTCTGAAATTTTATGAAATTTATGAAATTTCATGAAATTTATGAAATGTATTGAAATTTATGAAATTTATTGAAATTTATGAAATTTATTGAAACTTTCAATAAATTTCAATCACTTTAAGTGTAATATATTATTATTAAAATAAGCCTACTCGGGGACCATGGCAGATTGCCTCTCTTACCTCCTACCCCTCTGTGGGCCGCTGCAGTAAATACCTATGTTTACCACAAATTTCTTGAGATTTCCTTTTAAAATATTTTTAAAATTACTAAAACTAAAAGAGATATAGCACTTTTTGGTAAGCTAATGAGATTGTGCCACTTTCATTGTTTTATATTTATATATATATTTATTATTTTTAAATATTTTACTGAAATTTTACGAAAATTGAAGAAACTTCATCAAAATTTTATGAGCCAAAGGCATTTTTTATCCGTTTTCCGATGCAATTATAGCAAAAGTAAAAGTTTAAATTAATCATGACTTTTAAAAAAATTTTAAAGTCTGATTTAATTTACAAATTAAATTGGTAACTGAATTAAATTATTTAAATTAATTTATGCATATAAGTAACAATAATTACTTATAGTGTATTCAAATCCAAGCCGAACAAAACAAAAACGCCCCGACGCTTGATAACTCGTTCTTATTGGTCGATTCGGAATCTGTTGTAAATTATTATTAAATATTTTATAAAATAAATTTTATATTTTATTGCCTCCAGTTGACATGCTACAGCTTTATGAATTTTTTTCAAAAATACCCGGCGTAACTTTTAAAATAAAAAAGTTATTTACTTTTCAAGTAAGCCTAATTTGCCCTAAGGTTTCTCAGGTAATTTGTTAAAAAATGTTAAAGAATTGAAAAGGAATCTTTTAAACAATGATTTAAGATTCCAAAAATTCTGCCCCCATATTCGCAAACCTAATAACAAAAAACTTATAGGCTATTTTGACGCGTATTTCTCAAATTTTAATGAAATAAATTAATAATTCGAAAACTCTTCACTTTAGGTATAGGACATTGAGTAGTAGAGAATTTTATTTAGATTTTAAAAATGTGTTAAAATATTTAAAAAAAAATAGATAATAAATAAAACAAAATTAATAAATTATATACGCTTTTTAAATTTCAAATCGATATCTTTTTCCGTTCCCCAGAAACTTTTAATGGACCACGAATGTGAAACACCCTGTATATACAAACCATGCAGCATTCCTGTAAAACACACTTCTCCAATAAAACAAATTAAAAAGAATAAAAGCATAAAAGTATGTAGAAAGAATACAAGGTATCTAGTTTAATAAAAGAGTGAATTATGACCATGCGCGCTTACACCTTAATATACATTTTTTCAAACTTTTGCGCGCCCTAATAAATCACAAATACGTCCAGTAAGGGACCGGCGTAAGTGTAGTTAAGGAAAACTTTTTTGCACACGTAGCAAAAATATTAATTTTAAACCAAGTTTGCCCATAATGTAATGTCTGACCAAGATATACAGAAATTTAAAACGAGGGTGCCCTTTACATTGAAATTACTTATATAATCGTTTATACAACTTATATTGTAAAGGTTCAGACAAAACCAATATTGATTCTTCGTGTTTCTTTGTCTGGGATTTATTTCTATGTGCAAAATTAGGCTCACGGCTTATAAAATAAAAGGCAAAGAAAACTTAGGGACAAGTCTATTGTTATCGGCTTAACCGACAACTTCGGAAAACTGTTGCCATTTTCTTCGCCGATAATTATTTCCCGTCAAAAACTAAGGGCTCGGCGAGTAAAAGTGTTTTCTTTTTAAGGAACATCTAATAAAATATACTGATAGATGAAAAGTTTTGTAAAAGCACAAAAGATGATTATCAGCGATGTTCTTTAGTTTTTGTTTTACACAGTGGGCAAAAAAGTAAATTTTATCGGTACAAATAGGAAAAGAGCCAATATGTTTAAAACTTGGTAAAATTTTTATCAAAACGTTTTAATTGTTAAAACAAGTTTATTGTGGGGATTGTTTGTTTTGTAGCAACTTGTAACATCCAGGGGCGTGCTGGCTGAATCAATGCAGGCCTGGACTAGATGGTAGAGCAGTCCAGGCCCAAGCCAATTTCATATAAATTGTAAAAATACATCACAATTAAATACCTCTACTGATAAAACGTCCCGTATTAAGTCACAATCTAAACCATTTTGCACCTTTCTCTCCACAGCAATCAGCATAAAAGCTTCCAAATTTACGTCACTTCACACTAATATTAAAGGATTAAATCAAGACAAAAACTGCGAGAGGAGGCTTTTTTGGATGCTTTTGTAATTATGTTTCTGTTTCTCTATAAATCCGAGCTGATCCCCCCTTCCGATAATTTATAAATTGACTAAAATTGCATTTTATCAGTGGCCCCGGATCAGTTTGGATTTCCAAAGAAACGGAAAAATAATTACTAAAGCATCCAAAATATCCCCACGCTTTAGGGTTTCCACCTGCGACTTCTTGGTTAAGGGTTAGCATAAAAAATACGTGTTTTAGATTTTTTTACGGGAGTCAATTAAAACTTTCTTTTTTTTTTAAATTTATTTTAGTGTTTAGTGATATAACTTGAAAAAACTTTTTGTTTGGTATAAAAATCTTTTTTCTATTTGCATACCATAACAAGTCCAGCAGACCACCATGGTAGCGCAGGCCACCGGGCATTCGCCCGGTGTCCCGGCGGCCCAGCACGCCTCTGGTAACAACACAAAAATTGCTCAGAATTAAGCATTTAAAACACATTTTTATTAACAAAAATCCAAATTTATAACATTAACTGTTCATTGTATTTCCCCGATTTATCATCGTGTGACATTAAAGCCTTCCAAAAGGCTCGGAGCTCTATTAAGACAACCTAAAAACTCATTTAAAACTGACCGTGCAAATCGCTGTATCGGGTCTTAAGGAGACTATTCTGAATAAAATAAAATAGTTTAAAAAAATAATGAGTTTGTTTTTATTAAAAAAAAGTCCTTTAACTTTGGATCGCACCTTGTATCTCTCTGTAGGCTAACCAACCCATCTTATTAATATTTATACTTATAATAATGGAAATACTTTTAGTAAAATTCAATACATCGTCAATCATAAAACAGGGACAAATAAGACAATTTAATTTTTTAAAATTGAATCAATAAAAAAACGGTCTTGCCCGATATAATATAATTTAAATAAATTAAGTTTGCAAATTGATAAATTGCGTAATGACCAAAGAATTTGCTCATTAAGGTGCAAGGTAATAGAAATGAACTTTCCAATTGTTATTATAGAAAAGAAAATTAATAATATGTACATTTATAATACAAAATTGTATTTAATAGTATAAATCTTACTTGGCGGTCCTGCTTCTGTTCTTGGGCTTTTTAGGTTGTGGTGTAACTTCTACAGCATCATCCTTTTCTTCTTTGGATGCCCTGTTCTTGAACTTTCTAGTACCTACAGGTTTCCTAGTACTTTTAATGGTGTTTTGACCACCAAATAATTGTTCAACTGGTAGTGAATTTTCCTCACTGACTGAGGCAACAGGAGTTGGATCTAGATGTCTGTGTGGTTTACCTTTCAATTGTGGAGCCGCAGTTTTCAATATTCTCAATGTAGGGCTTGGATTTATTTTACCACCTTTTTGATTGTTATATATGTGGGAAGTACTTTGCAATACTTGAGCATATTTTCCGGAAATAAAGGTACCAATAACGCTTGTTTCGTGTACTGTAGTAGTGCCGTCTTTTATGACTGTACCGCCAAGTTTGGTCACCAAACCTGTTGGATGTGGTGTATCTTGACGTTTGCCGCCTTTATTTGCTGAAGCACGAGGTTTTAGATGAAATTTGGAGCTAGGTTTTAGGTTTATGACTTTGTAGGTCTCCTCCACAACCTCAGATGGTTGGCGGGATAGAAAATCGTACTCAGGCTCGCCAATATTGTTTCCAATTACGACAGCAGGCTCATCATCGACTTTCAACTCTATAATGCTTTGTACAACTTCTTTGGAGGCTTTTTGAACTTCAACTTTGCTCGATATCACTGGGATGTTGATTGTCGATACAGGACCTTCAACGACTTCAACTTTTGTTATGATGTTTGGTGTTGATGTTTTGGGTGTTTCCTCCACTACCTCGACTTTACTGGATACTACTTCAGGTTTTACAATGTTGACTATGCTAGATTGAGCCTTAACAATGTTAAATTGACTCGATTTGGCTTCCACGATGTTCACTTTTGATGATGGTGTGGTGACAACTTCAATTTTGCTGACGATTTCACTTGGTTGACTGGTATGGACTTGTACTACAGAAATTATACTTTTTTCTGATGAAGTTGGTTTTTTATTATCCACTATAGGTTTACTAGGTTCTATAGTAACAATATTGACTTCCTTATTTTCCTGTGGTTTCGTTTCTATTACTGTATTCGATGTAACATCCTTCTTCTCTTGTGGAGTATCTACTAAGTAACAAAAAATGTAGGGGAATCTTTATTATATCATGTAGTTACCTTTAGCTGCACTTTGTGGCGAAAACACCATAACGGTGTTACCAATTGTAGTAGTGAAATCCAAAAACCCGTAGACAGTCTGTGTAACGAGATTCCCTTGCTGTGTAGCTTCCAAATTGGCTGCTGGTTGAGGAGCATCTGGATTAATGAAGACAGGGCCGTAAGAGCATAAAGTTTTCCCTACTGTAACACACGAACAAAGAAAAATCATTATTTACCGTGATTATCCTCGTTATAGGGTGTGACTTTGTACCACCCTGTACACTACATACGACAAAGAGAAGGCATCATTCAGCGTGATTATCCTCATCATTTCACGTCAAGGATTCAAACTAGCAAACCCGATTGTCCGTATGAAACTTTGATAACTCGGTTATGAGTCGTGTGTACATAGTTTGGGTTGGGAGTTTGGATAACTTTCGCCGGAAAATATATTGATAATACACCCCAATAGAAACAACATACACAAATAGACAGATAGATAGATAGACAGATACATAGATATATATATCACTCTGATTTATTTACAATAAAAAAGTTTACAAAAACTAGACCTTGTTTCAATTCAGAAAATTTGTTTGGGAATTAAAGACATATTTAATTAAATAAAGGATATTTTATATACAGGGCTTCCTAAAAGTCCCGGGAAGGCACTACTTTTAAAGCATTGAAGAAAAAAATTAAAAATTTTTCCACTTGGTAGTCAACCCCTCATAACTCTTGAAAGAAATAAGATATCGGGTTTTGGTTTATGGGGATGTGTTTCTTTTTTCATTACATTTAAAATAAGGTAAAACTCGACAGGGGTTGCTAGTTTTTATTATCCTATAGTGATCCCCAAATTTTCAATTTTTTTTCTTTACTCCAAAAGTTATTTATATATATTTATATATGTATATATATATATATATATATATATATATATATATACCTTAAACAGATCTAGATATAAAATACACTTTTTTCAATAATGGCAGTAAATGACAAAAACAAGATTTGATTAAAAACTTACATACACATTATAAAAAATATCTGCTTTTAAAACTAAACATTAATCGGGTAAATAATGTGATTTTGTAAAATTTTTATCGAAGTAGAAGCCAAAACTTTTAAACGTTCGTTGTGAACAGTTGATAGAAACTTTCCGACAACAAAGAAATACACTGATCGTTTTTTAAAGTAGTTCGCCTAAAAAATTGTCCCACTTGGATAGGTTGTAACTTTTTAATAGATGAATGTAACTTGCTAATTTTTTTAGCGGCAAGTTTACATTGCTTTGTCATTATTGATATTGATTTTACAGGGTGGTTTGTTAAACCATGGTTTTTTATATCAAATTTATTGAGTACACCCAATATTTTTTTTTATTATTTTTTTTAGTCTTTATTGATTATAATAATTGAAGCGTGGTAATTCAAAAGCGTCCAAGTGCCGCTGCCGTGCAAAGCACAAATGTATTGAACAATATTAAGTAATGCATTAGTTACTACCTTTTTGCTTAGCACTGCAGTGGCACTTGGACGCTTTTTAATTACCACGCTTCAATTATTGATCAAAGAGCAAAGTTCAGCATTAGCTGTTCTACCACTTAAACCTCGACAAACACAAATAAACAGCTATACCCATGTGGGATTCGAACCCACGACCACTCGACTTGTAGTACTAAGCACTGACTACAACACCACCGAGGGCGGTTTCATTTTAATGTCATCATAGAGCCTTATGTCTTAGTGCTGCATGATTTTTTGGATTTCGGTCATAACTCACTAGCCTTTAAAGATATTAATTTTTAATTCACTTCATGTCTATTTTCGTGAAAAATTTCTTTGCAATTAATAATGTTCTCACATGTGTCCATTGAATTGTTTGTAAAAATGCGGGGTCTACTCCGACTCGTCAGCAACGCTTTAATATTGCATACAGCGCTTGAATACGATACGAAGGGGGACGCCAAAGAGAAACAAATCCAGCAGAAGACCCCAGAAGAACCGCTTTGCAAAACAGGAAGATATTGCTACCCAACTAAAACGAACATTGCACGTCGCCACAGGTAACATGATTTTATCATCAACAATAAAAAAGATTCCATGAAGTTGGGCTTTACTCCGGATGGTTATCTAGGCATCCAAAGTGGAATCGTAAGCAACTTTTGGTGGTCATTCAATAACAGTTTGGGGGGATTTCTATAGATCGTCGCGACGCGTTAGTCCAACGTAGAAAATAAATTTTTCCAACAAGAAAATACCAACCAAAGAAGGATGTTAGATCTCGAAATTGAATCACATGGTATTAAATAGCTAGGAAATGCCCTTCAACAAGAATGAGAAGCCATTCAGGGTGTCCCCATCAATACTAACCAAGGATATCAGGAGTAGTAGTGCGTTGAAAAATAGGGGGAAAACTTTTTGATGTTTTCGTATTTTTGTGTAGGTACTTATTGAAAAATCATATATTTTGACACAAACTTCGTAGCACGAAAATTCAAAAAAGTATGCGGAGCTTACACATAAATATACCGGGTGATCAATTTACCTCGTTTACATCACAATCCACACAACAAGGTCTGTTCTATCTCATGCTAAAAATACTAAAAATCACTGCAACACTGCACAGAGGCCTTATTTGAGGCTTACAAGTGTCTCTGTAAGAAACCCAACGTTTAAAACAATTATTAAACAGCACAAACCCAAAGCACAAAAATTGTAAACAACAAAAATGGCCGCCGTTAAACGGTGCAGTGTTGCAGTGATTTTTTGTATTTTTAGTACGAGATAGAACAGACCTTGTTTTGTGGATTGTGGTTTACATCAACAAATTTCCATCCATTCAAAAGTTACAACCTATCAAAGTGGAACAAATTTTTAGGAGAACCACTTTAAAAAACGATCAGTGTATAAGTAATTTTTGTGTAACTTGATTAGGGGGATACATATTTGCAATCTGCAACAATTTTACTTTTGAAAGAGTCTTTACTTCGAGCACAAAAGGAAAGAATATCAACGATAATTTAATTAAACGTTAAAAACATCCAACAAAGACGTAGAACGAAAATTGGTAATTTGAGTTTTGTAGGATATAAATTAATTTTTCATATACGTATTCGTTGCGCGGACTTGTTAAGATTCACTTTATTGTTTTTGAAATGCTTCGAGTTTAAATTAATTTTAGTTCGCAATAGGTGGATGATGTATTCTTTAACCTAAAAATATGAGCGAAATGCAATTAGAAAATGACAATGGCAAAAGCCGAAATTTTAAAAGAAGTTAACCAAGGAAATACAAGTCTTTGATAATAACTGTTTTGACTAAAGAAAGTTTCCTTCCAAGATTGTATATAGGACCTATATTATAGGTACATAAATTCGTTAAAGAAGCAAACTGTGAAAGAAAGTTGTATAGTATTGACAAAAATATTAAGCATTCTAATATACAAGCTTAGCTTCCAACTGGAATGCCAACAGGCTTGCTTTTTCTTAAATTTTTTACTCAACCAACTTATTTCCAAAGGTTGGAAAAAATAAAAGTGGCCTTTAAAAACCTTAAACTTATTATTTCAAAATTAAAAAAGTCTACTCACTCTAGTGTGGGTGTGGGTTAATATTTTTGGGTTAGAACCTAACCTGATGAAGCAAAACTGAATAGATTTGAATTCAGCGCACCAAATTCAGCATTTGGTTGATCTGGTTGTATACTTCTAAGTAAGTATCGTTTTAATTATTTTTTTAACTTCTTTTTCTATTTTTTATATTTATTTTATTATAAAAAAAACATAGAATGCGAAAAAATTAAAAGAAAAGTTGTGATTACGGCATTAAAGCAGAATAAATTAAAGTTAAAAATAAAAATAAAAAAATGTTTTTTTTTCGAAAAACTGAAACATTTTAGAGAATAGGACTATTTTGTATGTTTTTCTAAAAATACAGTTTATAAAAAAGTGTAGATAGTCAGCACCAATTTTTTTTTAATTTCTGTTAAATAAAATTTGAATAAATCAACAGAAACGTTTTTTGAGGTGTCATAGAAAATATCAAAATTTCAGTCAAATGAAAGGGGTACTGGTTCAAAAGTTCCGATTTGGTGTAAAATGCATGGTGCATACATAAATTCTTGTATAAGCTTTAATCTTCCGGGTTATGAATACCATGGCAGCAAAACACTCTTGGCTACGGCCCTGTCGTGCGGTAAAGTTGTTGGCAATTAAAATATTAATCAGTTTACAACAATAACCGTGAAAACAATTAAGTCCCAGCGTGTAAATGAAAACTTTCGTTCTCTCTTATATTTTATATGAAAAGCGCATTATTAAGTGCCGTGGCGAGTATTTTCCCGTGGCGCTTAAATTGCTGCCGCTGCTATGGCGAACAACTTTGGCCATTCCCGTTAATTTCGAACAGCCATTTAAAGAAGTTTACCTTTTGTTGGCAGCCACTTTATTTACGTGTATCGGCGAAAAAGAAAATATATAACAATTTACAACGTAAATCATGATGTTTTGCAATAACAATATGTTAGTTTGTTTGGAAGAACATTAAGAAAGGAAATCGTTTGGGTTTTTCTTGAAATGAGCTACTAAATGTGCTTGTTAGGGATTTAAGTATGTATTTGTCCTTTTACTTAAATAAACATTATTATTATTATTATTATTATTATTATTATTATTATTATTATTATTATTATTATTATTATTATTATTATAATTATTATTTTGTAACTTAAAATATATGTGTGGAAACTGAATTTCAATTGCCTTTACCGTTCCAGAAACATGTCTTAACAATGTTTACTTAGGCCAGTCTAAAGAATGTCTCAAGAATTTTAAAGTCTTGGAACGCTCTGCGAGACGAGAGACCACGGTAAAATGAGTATATCATGTATGTTTTGTTCTTCGTTGGCAGTTTTATTGTCAAATTATAAACGTGGAAACTCATTTTCTAACCTCATCTACTAATTGGTTAAAAAAAATAAGATAAAAAGATGGTAAAATTACACATTCTACCTTCTTATAATATTCATAGAACTGATAGAAATTTTACAACTAGCAAGTATCAACGAGGTAGTGAAGTCCTAATCGCTGTTAAGTCCTTATCTGAGGTGTATGAGGAACATTGCGCTAGCGTTGAGTCTAGAATTGACAAGCTAGATAGTAATGTAGGCGATTACAATTTACCCAATATAAACTGGGAA